GGCCGGCTCCCCCCGCGGCCCCCGACCCGTCCCCCGCCGTTCCCGTGGGAGATGCCCGTCCTCCGCCGCCGCGGGCGCCTCCCGGGACCGGCCGCGCTCCGTGCCCGGGGAGCTGCTTCCCTGCCTCCTTGTGTCTCCTGAAAACCTGCCTCTGGCTCTTCCCGCGGGGACTGTCACCGGCCAGGGGGCTTCTTGTCTTCAGGGGCTCTCCCCGCAGCTGACACGGACCCCGGGGCTGCCTCCGGGCAGTTGGCTCCTCGGAGAAGGGTGTTTGATGTTCTGCAGTTGTTCCAGTGCCCCAGAGAAGTGCGTTGGTCTGTGTGTCTCTGAGACCTCCAGAAGAGCTCTCAGTAGTTGCTGTTGTCCAGTGGAGGACAAGCCAGGCCGTACTGGGTTGCCCCTTAAGGTTCTTCATCCCTTCTCCTTCATCAGCTCCTGTTCTGTTTTTACTTGAATATGAACTCGTTGCCAGAATTACTGGAGGACTAGATTCAGAGACCGGGGTGATCTGTGCGTGTCCTGGCTCCAGCAGAGTGTCCCTCTGCACCCTCTCTGCACTACAGACCCTGGGGACACCCAGACTGCCCCGGCCACCGGCGCCTGGGGATGGACAGCTTCTTGCTGGGCCCCACTTGCTGCCAGCCCTGAATCGGGTGCTCTGTTGGACCTGCACTTATTTGGCTCCCACCGCAATTTTAACACGTGCTTTCCTTCATTTACCAAATCAGACAGAGAAATTACAAGAACTTTACCAAATGTCCTGACTGAGACTTTGTGCAGGCCACTCGGGAGACGTGAGGTCCTGGCTGTCGCTCCTCCGCGTTGCCCTGCTAACCCTGGGCAGACTGGAAGGAAGATGCTTGGGCAACATAACTCTAATTTTCAGAGCTCAACACCTGCTAAACGTTGCCCCAGGCTGGAGTATGAGCATGCACCTCTCCCCTTCCCTCTGCAGAGACACACGGGGTTCACAGGAGGGGCCAGGGGGTGCGATGCGCTCCCACACAAACTGCTTGGACTTTTAACTAACACAGAGCTCTGCTCGGAGCATGGCAGCGCCTGCATCGCCATAAGGAGATTTCTGCCAACAATTAGTGAGGAACCTTGCTGTGCGTGTTCCTCGGCGCGGCTCTGCGGCCTTCCGGGTGCCGGGCAGCAGCACAGCACACCCGGCCCCGGGACTTACGGCGCTGAGACGGACGGACGGACCGTACCCGCGGGGTGGGACAGGTTTACAGCCACTGTGTTCCCGCTTTGCTTAGCACATTTACAGCCCCAGCAGCTGTAAATCAACACGGACACGGACCCCAACGAGAGACTAAAGCCTCGCCCCTGCACATGCTGGTGCTGAACGCTGAGCACACGATTTACCCGTTGAAAGAGAACTGCTTTCGATTTGAAACATGCAGGCTCTGAGCCCGACAGACAGCACAAAAGCAGAGCAATACGTCTAGAACTAGTTTTGTTCTATAAAGAGGTGCAGTTCTTATACCGTCTGCATTTAAATAAAGGTATAATATTTTTATGATGTGAGATGCGGTTTTGGTACAAGAATGAAATATTCTGTATTTCATCATTGCAACTTTTTTTTTAAACAGTGTAACCTTGTAAACTGTAAATGTATTTAAATGCATATATTTTGCAAGAAATCTACCAAAGTTGGCTTGTTATGTGGTTTGGTGCCTTCATTTGTTTCACCATTACTTTCTTTTTATTTTAAATGATAAGGTCCAGCTTATTTGTCACCCAGGGCAGAGACGCTGCACCCCTCAGCCCTCCCGTGTCTAGAAACGAGCCAACAGGTATCAGCCCAAATCCTGCCCTCATTCTCCTTCCTCTGACATTAAAGAAGGCAGAGCAGCCACCCCGGCCGAGGCTCCTGTCCGTGTCTCTGCTGTGGAGCCTTCAGAAGCGTGGCAGGATTTGGGCTCTGACCAAAAGATGGACAGTCCAGCACTAGCGTTTAAAATCAACTCAAAACTGGTGTCTTGGGGCGAGGGAGGGAGACCGTGCCTTAGAAGGGAATTTTTTGTAACAAGCCAAACTTCTCATGAGGTAGCTCTGTGCCACAGGGGGCTGGGTCCACGCAAGAACCAAAATCTGAACCACTGACACAAGGAGACCCCTTGGGAGCAGCTGGCACCAGCTGTGTGTGTGCTGTGGAACAGCATCCTCCTCCCAAAGCAGAGCTGGCTGCTGAGGGAACAAGCTGTCGCTGAGGCCGGTGGGGCAGTGCCCAGCAACACTAGAAGGAAGTGGGGCCCATTTTAAAAATATTTTTATATTTAATCTCGTCCTTCAGTATACTTGTTGCTGAGCTTTAAAGAATAACCCCAGAGGAGGCTGTTACTGACATCACTGGCTTCAGGGTAAAAGTCTAAGTTGGGTTTTGCTGTTTTTTTTCCCAAGAGCAGAGACCTAGTCCTGAACTTTAAGACTTGGAAGTGCTCAGGATCAGGCCTGAACCTCATCCTGACCAACAGAGAAATCTATAGCACTTGTTTACTATTTTAATTTTGTATTTAAGGTTTCACATAAAAATAAAACCATCTAAACCAATCCCTAAACGGGGTTACTGTTCTTTGTGAAAGGGATTGTTTGGGCCAGGAAGATGGGGTGTGACAGGGTGTGACATGGGTGCCCACAGGGCTACCTTGGGGGGAGCTGGGTGGCCCTGGGGAGGGGGAAGGAGCAGAGTGGGCAGCAGCATCTCTGCTGGAGCCCAGACAAAAGAGCAGCAGCAGCGGCGGGTCTTGTGATGTGAGCACACTGGGGAGCGGGCCGTGCGGCCCCGCTGCTCTGAGAGAGCTCTGAGCATGAAGCTCTTTCAGCCCCCAATTCCTACACGTTTAAACTGAAAGGAAGAAAAACCCCACCGCAGCTTGGATCAGCCCCAGCCTGACCTGATACCCCAAGCCTTTCTGCCACTCAGGTTTTTTAAAAAGTGCATTCAAGCCGGGGAAAAACATTTTCACAGTCGCATCGGAACAGAACCTGTGAAAAAACGGCTGTTAATGAATCCGCAGAGGCTAATTGGCAGTGGGGAAATTTGCCTGAGGTGTATCACTGCCAGGGAGGTCTTTCAATATTTTGCACTTTTTTTTTTTTTGCAAGAATTTCAAGCTTTTCTGAACAAACTATTGCTTTAAAAATGAAGAAAAAACATCTTCAAAGACTTCATTTTCCAGCCTTCTTGCCAGCTGGGTTGAGATTAACAAAAGCTCCTTGCCACCCTCCCATTGCTATGCACATGCTGAGCTGGAGAAAGGGTGTCTGCCGGCTTGGCCTTTGTCCTGCTAAACGAACCATTGCAGAGTTATGAATTTGAAAGTAACCTGCAGTTCATACCCTGCAAATCTGGTTAGATCCTGTCTGTGCAAAGAGGGGAAACGCACCAGGCAGAGGGAAAAGGAAGCTCAATCAGTCACGTTTGCTGCAGGATGTTTAAGGAAATATTTCCTTTTCCTGCACAGAGATGTTTGTTGGGCATCTGCTCTTTGGAACAGACTGAAACACGTTACTCTTGGAGTGAGAAACCAGCCTAAGTCCAGATTTTTATTTATAAGTCTGTTCCCTGATCAAATATTATGCAAGGAATTTGCATAATTCTTCCTCCTTGCCCATCTTTCAGATCACAAATGCAGGTAAATAGTCTCCTAAACCTACTTTCCTAGAACAAAGACTGGGCCATACCTCTAATGCTGAGTGAGAATCCTGCCCCTCAGAAGCCAGACCCCACATAAAAGCACCATATTCATGCGTGTATTCAGCAACCCATCCATGCCATACTTGGCATTAGATGATACCCACAAAGCACTCTTTTTTTGTTTTGTATACTAAAGAAGAAAATAATTAAGTCCACATGTTTGAGGATTTGCTGCTCTAAGTCTGCTTGGTAAGACACAGCAAACACTTCTGCCATGTTAGGTTAATCAGGAGGTGGCAGGTGAATCCCCTTTTCAGATCAAATATTGCGTTTGTTTCACCCATAGACTGATCGCGACAGGATAAATCATTCCAAAAGCAGAGCCTCGAGGGAGCCTCATATTTATATTTTGGAAGTATCTGAGCTGTATCGTTCGTACTTTGATAGACCTTTGTGAGTGTCTGTGTGTGTGTGTGACTGCTCCAGCCCAGATCTTCCTGTCACTAAAACCCCTTCTTCCTCCTACCACAACCTTCAGTGAGAAGAAAAGGACGGTTTCAAGCCCTTCGTCACTGATAAAACCTCCCGTGGCAACAGCGAAGCCTTTACAGTTGCTTGGCTACACAGGCTTTGCTTCACCTTCTCTTTTTCTTAAACACAGATTGAGATGTTCTGCCGTGAATCAACTGAGCAGTGGCCTTTGTTTGTGGCATTTGGGGATTTTGTGCCCAGCACCAAGCTGCCCCCTCCCTCCAAAGCTCACCCTCGGCTCGGCCCAGGATCTGGCACGGGGAGGTGGTGAGCATTGGCCTTAGCGGGGAAGCACGTGTGTTACACCAAGGGCATCTGCCTGGGGCTGTGCCAGTCTTCTCCTCCTGCTGGATCCAGTCCCACTTAAAGAAGCACAGGAAAGGGAAGAGCACATCACACAAGCTTTACCACTGCTAATGTGAAAATACTCATCAGTAAGAGTCTGGTTTAAAAGTTCTCTAGAAAAATGAGTATATCAATGAGCTTGGATGTTAAGCAGCCTGAATATAATCAACTGATGCATTATCTGAACTACTGGCTTCAGCTTTTTGTTTTGAGAGCAATGGGATCATACAAGGTGGGGAACTGGACGTACAGCACTGATATTCTTAAACCAAAGGAAGAGTAAGCTTTGAAACCACTATCCGGCTGCTTTAGGTTCAATCTACAAGAGGAAGAAAAACAAACACACCTCACTCCGTGACCAACAGAGCCACCCACAAGGCACAGCAATCTGCTGATGTTAATACAGGAGAGGAAATT